CTGAACTGAACTGAACTGAACTGAACTGAACGAGCGTGCTTCTGATGGGTGTGCTGTCTTCCATCTTCCATTTTATATTTCCATATTTCAATGCCATAATCCATTCATGGGATCTGATGTCTTCAAAGTAAGTAGATCTAAACCCAGTTGACATGTCTAGGAGTCAGACAGCAGTTTCTACATGAACATAGCTACCTGGATGAGAGTTAGCGCATCACTCAGGTCTTGGTAAAAGCGGTGACATTCCACAGCTTTCTGTAGCTGATCCTGACGCTCCTTGGCCAAGCTTTTCAAATCTTCCCAGGATGCACTGCAGAAACATAAATATCAAAACTAACAAGGAGGAGGACAAAGAGCGATTCAAAGGACCCCTATGAGCAGAAGATCGGGGAAACAGTTCACCCTTCCCGGGATAGGGTTACCAGGAACGGTGCCTCTGGCGGGTGGTGGGCCCATATCCCTTTTTCCTGGCCAGGCCAGGGCTAAGACACTTGCCCTCGGGCACCCTGCCCTGGCCTGGCCAGGAAAAAGGGATATGGGCCCACCACCCGCCAGTGGCACCGTAGGGTCGGGTGCAAATGTGTGTTGGGTGGCGGCCAGGAGCAGAGGCCCTGGTGGACCGATCCCAGTCTATCGAGACTAGCGATTGGGACATGGCATGTCACCTCTCTGGTGGGGAAGGAGCCTGAGTTATGTGTGAGGTACCAGCTAGATATAGTCGGGCTCATCTCAACACATAGCTTGGGCCCTGGAACCAGGCCAGGGCCCCGATCTGAACCCAAGTGGTGTTTTGTTACTGGATTTCTGTGCAAATCACAGTTTGCCCATAACAAACACCATGTTCGAACATTAGGGTGTTCATAAGTGCACATGTCATCAGGCCACTCTAGGCCGCAGGTCAGTGATTGATTTTGTAAACGTATCATCAGACCTGCAGTCATATTTTCTGGACACAAGAGAGGGGCTGAGCTGTCAACTGACCACCAACTGGTGGAGGGTCTGCTGAGAACGCCTGAGGCCCCAGTCCGCGAGATCTTCAACTCACACCTCCGGCAGAGCTTCAGCAGCATTCCAAGAGATACCGTGGACATTGAGTCGGAATGAACCATGTTCAGCACCTCCATTGCCCAAGCTGTGGCTGAGGTGTGGCCGCAATGTGGTTGGTGCCTGTCGTGGTTTCAACCCCTCAACCGAATGATGGACCACCAAAGGTGAGGAGAGCCACCAGGCTTAAGGAGTCCTATTGGGTTTGGTTAGCATGTGGGACTTTGGACCCAGCTGATAGGTACCGAGAGGCCAACTTGTGCAGTAGCTGAAGCAAAAACTTAGATGTAGGAGCCGTTTGGAGAGCCTGTCACGGTGAATAGAATGAGCTGGGTGGAGAATAATAAAGGAGGATCCAAGTGCAGGCACTTGTGGAGGTGTGAAGGAGGTTTATTGTAAAAATAAAACACAAGTAGAAAACGGCAAACAATACTGGGAAAAAAATAAACTACTAAACATGAACACAAACAAGGGTGAGTGGAGGGACATGAAGGTTGATAGCAGGGGGACACACACAGTTGATACACGGGAGATTAACAGGAGATTAACAGACAGACCAGTGACTACAACATAAGAAGACACGACTCAAATACACACAGAAGAACACAGGGAGTTTACACACAAGTGGGGAACACAGCTGCAAGTAATTGACGAGACAAGGGAGGAAAAACTGAATACACTCACATAAGACATGGACCTTCACAATAAAACAGGAAACAAGAAACAACTACACAAAGACGCAGACTAGACACAAAACTAAACCTACACTAAACATGAGGCACAAACCTAAGAACTAATCCCTCACCAAGAATAACTGAAACATACTAAATAATAATAATAATACTAATAATCATCATCTAAGCCTGACAAGAGATCAAGAAAATAACCAAAAATACAAAATCAAACCAAAAAATAAGAAACCCAAAATGCTGGGTCAAAATGACCCAGAACTGTGACAGAGCCCATGGAAAAAGACTTCTAGACCGCCTAGAAGACGTTCTGGCAAACCCTAAGGCTCAGGAGGAGAAAGCAGTGCTCTACCTGCACTTCAGCTGAAAACATTGTCTGGTGATGGAAGGAATACTTCGAGGACCTCCTTAATCCGACTGGCATGGAGGAAGCAGATTCTGGGGATGAGAATCTCCTGGGGTGAGGTCACTGAGGCAGTTAAACAACTCCTTGGTGGCAGGGCCCCTGGGGTGGATGAGGTTTGCCCTGAGCTTGTGAAGGCTCTGGATGTTGTAGGGCTGTCTTGGTTGACACGCCTCTACAATGTTTCTTGGAGATCAGGGGCGGTACCTATGGATTCGCAGACCACGGTGGTAGATCCTATCTTTAAGATGGAAACCAGAGGGTGTGTTCCAACTATTAGGGGATCACACTCCTCAGCCTCCCTGAGAAAGTCTATATCAGGGTGCTGGAAAGAAGAGTCTGTCCATTAGTGGAACCTCGGATAAAGGAGGAATAATGCAATTTTCGTCCTGGTCATTGAACATTGGACCAGCTCTTTATCCTCTCGAGGATAATTGAGGGTGCATGGGAGTTTGCCCAGCCAGTCTACATGTGTTTTGTAGACTTGTCCTGTGGGAGGTGCTTTGGGAGTATGGGGTGTCTGGCCCATTGCTATGGGCCATTCGATCCTTATACAACGATTGCAAGAGCTTGGACCGCATATCTGGCCATAAGTCAGACTCGTTTCCAGTGGGTGATGGAATCTGCCAGGGCTGCTCTTTGTCACCGATTCTGTTCATATTTTTTATGGACAGAATTTCTAAGCGTAGACAAGTGGCATAAGGCTTCCACTTGGGTGGTCCCCTTGGTGTTCCCCCAGACAAGCTGGAGGAGGTGCCCAGGGAGAGGGAGGTCTGGGCTTCTCTGCTTAGACTGCTGCCCCCACAACCCAACCCCGGATAAGCGGAAGAAGATGAATGGATGGATGGACACGGGTAAAACTGCTTACTGAAACGCAAAACCAACAATTTCAGTATTTAAGACAAACAAGAAAAGGAATAGGATGCCTCACAGATAAAATAACTGACTCACTACTGTGGCTGTGTGATTACCTAAGCTGCTGCAGAGTGTCTTTGATTGCAGAGCTCTGTGGGTGTTTGTTGTGGATCAGCTGAACAGCCAGGTTTCTGCAGTTCTGTAGTCTCTCCTCGCCAACCTCCAGCTTCTTCAGGAAGCCTTCAAACTTCCCTCGAACCAACTGCAAGCATAATCCACAGACACACAACTCTACAGCTACCTTCAGCCTCCAAAAAAAAAATCATTCAAACATACTAGAATTAATATTTACAATCATTGTGCAATGAAATGTAACCTGAACATGCTGATAATCATTGCCCAGGTCCTGAGACTCAGCTGTTTGTCTCTGCTGGTTCATCCAGTCCTCCAGCTCTGAAGACTCTCGCCTGAATTCATGGAGCTGAAGGACCTCCTTCAGCTTCTGACCCCTAACAGGAGACATCAGGGTGGTCAGTCACACAGGTACACAGACGCAATAAAAAAGCCAACAATAAAACCGCTAAGTCAGACACAGATCATCTGAACTAATATCATTTTGTTTGGAGAAAAATGATATAAATCACCTAGAAGCAGGTCAGGATATTAAAGATCAGCACTTTACTGTATAAGTCTTTTTCTCTGTCACATACGTATGTTCTTTCTACATTTTTTGTAATTAACAACTGGCTTATGTAAATATTGCACTTTTTCCAAACAAAAAAAAGGAAAAAAAAAGAAAAAACACAATAAATAGATAAACAAACAACGATTAGGAAAAATATCACGAAAGAGAGAGACTCAAAAACAACCTGTGAGAGAAAAGCAGAGAAAGTAATCCAACAATATGAGTGTGTGCTCACCTGAGTCCAGCCTGGTGCTGCAGCTGCTGGTTCAGGCTGCTGATTCGACTGTAGGGTCTGCTGAGCTCCTCCAGGCCCCAGTTCTGAATGGCCTGCTCTACCTGGTCTCCTAATGCCTCTACTTCAGCTTCCAACACCTCCAGTTGTCCTTCCAGCACCTGCACAAACACAAGGACACTGTTTACTGATTCTGTTGTTGTACAATCTGCACGCTGTTCTTTGATTTCTTCGTCAGGAATCGATAGGGGAATCATATGGGGTCCTTTTCCGACTAAGCAAAGTGTACACAGAGTGTGTGATGTACCTGGTGTTTAGTAATGAGGCTTTGTGTGGCCAGCTGGTTTTTGCCATAGTCGTCAATGTTCACCAGACTGAGCATCTCGGCGAGTCTGGACTCCAGCTCCGAGCAGTCCAACAGCAGCTAGAGATGAGGCACACACAGAAAATGTAGCAGTTTATATTTTGTTTTGGTTGGGTTTAGCATAAAATACTTCAAAATTTAACTCTAAATGACCAGTTAGACAGCTGCAGAACTAAGTGTCTTACTTAAAGGTATTTTGATGATGGAGTGTCAGTATCAGACTTTCACTTCCCTCCAATATAAAATATCCTTGTCCATCTCACCTGTTCTCTGGTAATAGCCTTGCTGAGGTGAGCTGCTCTCTTTTTGCAGGCATCCTCAAGCTCCTCCCACTCTGTGTTGAGGTGGTCGCACCTGCAAAACAGCAGAAATTTACACTGCTCCACAAAGCCAGAACACATTTGGTCTAAACTGAGACCGTACTTATGACAGATCACTTGAACAGTACAGACAAATACCATCTCAAAGTTGTGTCAAGTGCCCAGCTATATAACATAACCCCTCCCAACAGGCTTTTTATGTCATGGTCCTGAGTCTGAGGACTCGGTGTTTTGTGTTTCTTTATATTCTTCTATATTCTTGTTTATTCTGCCTTGTCTTTTGTTTAGGTTTGCTATGTGTCAGTGTGTTTGTTTCATGCCTGCCTGTGTTCCCTCTGTCTGTCCATGCTTCTCTGTGTCTGTTAGTTTCCTGTTTTATTCTGAAAGTTCATGTCTCATGTCAATGTGTTCAGTTTTACCTTTCTCCTGTCTCGTTAGCCTAATTTCTCCCAGCTGTGTCCCCCTCCTGTTGTCCATTTCCTAATTACTCCCCTGTGTATTTAAGCCCTGTGTTTTCCTGTGCTCCCTGTCGCGTCGTACCCTCAACTTGCTGTGTGTTTGTAATATCCAGTCCTCCAGCACCTCGGTTTAGAGTTTTGTTTTGCTTTTGTAAGTTTTATTTTGTGAATCATTCCTCCAGCAATAAAGCTGTGTTTTCAGTTTATTCCCGTCTCCCAGAGTCCTGCAATTTTGGGTCCACCACTTCTGCTTGCCTGCCACACAGCCAACCATGACATTTTATTTATAAAAATTATGAAACATTTGCGTACATTGGCGCCAATGGCATCTTTGCAGTCTAAAAATCAAAAATCCTACATTTAGAGGAAGGACCAGTTTCTCTCATGGAATTGGTCGTTTTAATGTCATTAGCTAAATTTATTCCTTCAGATCAGTGTGCTGGGTTTTGAAAACAACCCCATCTTTGCATCAGTGTTAGGCCTCAAAGACAGGAGTGATTACCAAGCTATTTGGACAAAGTCATTCAATGGTGTCAATTTTGTTCTCATTATTTGTTGGACTAAGGTAATGTGTTTGATAATGTTTTATCAGTTTTATTATATTATAACTTATTCTTTAACAAACCATTTTCCTTGTCTAAGTAAATGCTTATTTTGTGATGGTTTCTAGTTTTAATGCATTTTATAAGCAATGTCAGCGTAAGATAGATTCACTACAATGCACATGAAACTTTTTTTTGATGACAAAAAAAAACAACCACACCTCTGTAGCACCTCCTCTCTTTCTGACTTGTTGGATTTGGCTAGGCTGCGCCCTTTCTTCAGAATGTGGTTCAGGTGTTTTCTATGTGCATTCACTTCGGCCTGCAGCTCCTGGGTTAACACACGAGTACATGAGCAAATGTTAAGTAAAACACAGCCCTGTAAATGTGTCAAATCACTTGAGTCCATTGTAATTCCAACTGAGCTCTCAGCTCAGTTAACAAATGAAGGAAAATGGGAGGTTTTATAGATAAAGAACTGCAACCCAGCTCGTGCCTTGTGTTTCTGCATGAGGCTGAGGGCCCCAGCCAGAGATTTGTCGTATCCTGTAGATCCAGAGGCAGGAACATGCTCAGAGATCCAGTTGAGCTCAAGATCCACATCATGATAAAATCCAAACAGCACCACAGATGCCTCCAGTTGTGCTCGACGCTCGTCCAGAGGTTTCTGCAGGGACTTGAATCTGCCACACAGAGGTTATAAAGTCAAGATGATGATAACCTAAAGTGAGCACTGGACTATATTTATGTTATTACTTTTTAATTACACACAGAATAAAATACCCCAAAGGAGACAATGACAGATAAAACCTGAAGTGACATAGGAAATTGTATTCTATGTATCTGTGTCTTTCAGATTTTGTCTCTGTGTGAGCGTCCTTGTCATCCACTTTTATTTTTGTTGTTATTTTGCCTTTTGTCATTTTACTTCAACAGATCGTTTTCTTAGCTGAGACACCCTGACCTGATCTTGTTTGTACTCCTTTCTTTTCTTCTCCATGCACTTGGTTTTATATGCACTGAAGTTACTCTAAATGCAATAAATGAAAATATCTATTTGTTTGAAGATTCAAAGTAACTTACAAAGTGAGATAGGCGTCTGTCTCCTGGAGGATCCTTTGAGAGTCAAAGTGGTTGGAAGCGAGGTGTTTGGCCCTGCTCACAATAGAGTTGATCTTCTCTGCCAGTTCCTTGGCCTCCTGCTCCAGCTGCTGATGCTCCTGCATGAGCACACACACACAAAGTATTCACTGATGTCTAACTGTAAAACACAGAGTCATTAAATCAATGCAGGCCTGTCCTCACCTTGAGCAACTGTCGACTGGAGCGCAGGTCGTGACCTTTGGCAGCATTGTTTAGCATCCACTGGATGGCCTCAATCTTCAGCTTGGCATCCTGAGGAGGAAAAGTACAAGATTTTTCTGCGAATGGAGCTCTGTTTGGACAGCAACTACTTCTCCTGGGAAGGATGGTCTTTAATTTTTTACTCCAGCTGACCTCTAAAATTAGTGTAAATTTAAATTTGGCCAGAAATTATGAATTGTATATAAAAGACAGGGGTCAGTTATAGTGTCACCTAAAGGCTTGTGAAGTCTCAAAGTTAAGCTGTGTTCTTCTTGCTTTTTTTGGAGCCAGCAGTGAGCATATTTGAGGCATACAAGAGGCTGGTGTGTAAGGTTATCAATTAATGCAGGTAGGCTAGGTTAGCAAACTGCATTCATAGATATATTAGTGCTAATTAACTAATTAACAAGCTAATCAAATGCTACAATCTCACAAATCAAGACTGAAGTACAAACTTCTTGGATGGGCTACACAGACAGCATTATTTGTCTGGTAATTTCCTCAAAAAGCCATAAAAGGCACTTACATCACTGAACTGGACCACACAAACGTCTTATCCAGTTTCTCCATCAGTAGTTTACCTGCAAAAGCTCCATCAGCTGCTCCTGCTGCCCCGCCTGTCTCAGCCTGTCCCCCCTGTCAGCCATCTTGTCTTGTAGTCTTTTCCACCGACTCGTGAGCTGAGAAGACTTCCTGCTGATGCTCTGACTGTTGTAGTGCTCTTCAGCAATCATCTCCTCTCCCAGCTTATCACAAACACACACATATGTACTGAAGGTGACATCTCACCAAAGTGCAAGTTGTCTTTTCAATATATGCAACTGTGCACGTGTTGCCAGAGTCACTGTCAAACACTTGTTGTTTCCTCTACAGCAGTCAT